GTTTATTACGACTGTAAAAAAAGTATAAAATAAACTTTTATAATTGCTTTTTTTTTCATTTTTTCTTTCTGTAAAAATTTTTAGTTTAGTTTAATTGTTGAAGAAAAGGGGAAATGATATGGGACGATTTTTCTTTTGAAAATAACATTCAAACAGATTATGCTTTAGAAGATTAAATAAGCTATCTTTCCTAAACGATCAAATTAGATTGTTTTGATTATTTTTTTCTCTCCTCGAAAACAATCATTAACTGTAAACCAAGTTGTTTTGGTTATTTTTTTTCTCTTTTCAGAAACAATCATTAACATTGATAAACTGTATGATAAGAATGGATGCTGAAGATATGAAATATGCTTGTGGAAATTAGTCAGTAGATCGAATCTCATTAAAAATTTGATGTCATTCAAATCAGTGGCAATATAAATGAACCAAGTAATAAATTTAATAGGAAAATATTTTTTACTGTTATTGAAAAGCTATAAAGATGATAAAAAAGATAACGGTAAAAACTTTTTGGATTATTTAAAATTACATTTCCATTTTCATTCAAATTAGAATTATCATACATTCATCCTATAAAATAGAATAACTTAATTTCGAAAGCTAGAAATTAATGACTTTTTTGCTACCACATTATATTGCATATTACTTCAACGTAGGTATGATTTCAAATGAATTTAGATTTATCCTCAAGAAATCATTCTCATTGCTAATTTTAATGTTTCATTCAGCAAATCCTTTTTTTTTTGTAAAAATTCATTTTTGTTAATTAATTTCTCATTTTATTATACATATTTTTTTTAATACGTGCAATTAGCGTTCACAAATAAAATTTTATTTTATGATACAACGCTTCAATTACGTTAAAGAATATATATTGATTTTTTTATTTTGAACATTCCACATGCATTTTAATGATTTTTTTTCACTTCACACAACATTTATTAATTTTGTCAAAAAAACTAATCACAATTGCATTAGAAAAGAATAAAAACGACAAATTTATCATTCATTCGTTCTATTCTGTTAGTAATTTTTCAATTAAAAAATTCCTTTTTTAGGCATTCTTTTTCTTTTCTTTCTTGTTGTTATTTACATCAAAATTTGTAGAGAAGAAAAAAGAAAACGTGCAGCAGTGAAAAAATTGAATCAAAACCGAACAAAAATAAACGAATAAATAAATAAAATTAAAGCAAAGCAAATTTGCAATTGGAAGAAGCATTCGTGGCAAGAAATTAGTAGTACCGTAAAAAATAATCTTGTTTTTTTTTTTTATAAAGATATGTTCTTGAATTATTTTAAATTTTCGAACTATTGGAACTATTTTTTTTTCAGTTGTTTTAAACTTTATGTTGATATTTTACCAGATAGCGGTGGAAAAATGCCATTTTTGCTAGCTATGATATTTAGATCTTTGAAATAGATAACATTACATTCCTCTTGACACCTATAAATCTATAAATAAAATATGATCATAAATCCAAATGACATATCTAAACAAACAAACAAACAAAAAATCTGATAACTAAATTTTTTTTGATGTAGCAAAAGAATTTGCTTACATACATCTTTATATGTTTATGTATCCACTTTGATCGAATCATAACTAAATAACGAAATTGACCGTTAAAAAAATTTAATTTCTTCAATATTTTTTTACAAATTTCATTATTTACATTGTAAACAAATTATTTGCTCAGATATGTGTGAAAGGAAGTTGAAATATGTAACGGATTTTAAATATAAACAGGGAATAAAGAAATACTAAAAAATATTCATTTCATAAGCTAACTGTTGCAAAGAAAAATTTTTTAACTTTTTCTCCTCGTTTAAATTAAAATTTTCCTTTCAAATTTAAATTTCTCCCTAATCAATTAGCAAAACACTTCATCATCATCATTTTTGTTCCATATCATCGTCTTCAACAATGGTACATTTTCTTTTCAAATCAAACAAATGTAATTAATTTATGTAAAAAATTTATGATTATTTCTTTTCTTTTTATAACTTTGGGACTTTTGAAATTTCATCAAGCATAATAACTATATTAATAAAAATTTTACTTTTTTCCAACAAATTTGGTAAAAAAATCCCACCAAACATAAGAATTATATCTTATCCTTCTTTATCAATGATACAATTTTTAAATTTATATTCATAAATAATTTGATTTAAAAATAGTATTTTACAGGAATATTAGCATAAAAATAAAATTTTCAAAATAAAGATTTTCAAAATAAAGATTTTCTTTTTTCCTACTTTTATTTTTCTTTTCATTTTTCTACATTTTTTTTTGCAGCAATAAGAAGTGCGACATTAATCTCGATAATTCCTCTGTCTGCCACATTATCATTAAAATGATCCTTGTTTTTTTTTTTCAAGTTAAATTTTTTTCAAGTTAAATAATTCTTGTTCTTTTTCAAGTTATATTTTTAAAATTAGATGGCTTAGAAACATATATTAATATGACTGAACATATTGTTTTTCAAATTAACTGTGGTATTTTTATGTCTTCTCTTTTTTTTTTTCATTACATTTTGTTCATCAGCATTACCGTTTTCTTGAACAATTTTTTTTTTTATAGCAATATTATTTTAATTAAAATATGAAATTTTTCATATTGATATTTGGATGATTTTGTTCTGCACGCTATGATATGTTACAATTTTTCAACAATTCTAGCTTTTTTTTCTTTTTTTTTTTAAATTGTTAAATGAGATGTAAATGATCGAATTTGATTTATATCTCATCTAATAGTATAAAAATGTAAAATCGATTTATCCATTTTTTCACTATTTTTGGTGCATTCTATTTGCATGACTTTATGATTTAACAGAAGGATTACCAGATTTTCCACTTAATGTATGAAAATTTGAAGATTTCAAGCAAAAACCGCACTAAGCGTTTTTATTTCATTAAACCATTTGTAATGCTAAAAAAAAAAAACTTTCGATTTTCTTACTCAATAAATTTCTTTTCAAATTTTCAATATATTAATTCTCAATATATAGTAAGATAAAATACAGCAACAATACATACGTACGTAACAAGAGATTAAAATTTCTTGTCATAAATCTCACTTATTTCTTTTCCTTATTTTAAAATAAAAGATGAGAAAAGGGAAAGAGATTTATGAAATTTCGAACGGTAACACAAGAATTTCTTGACCTTGCTGAAAATGCTTTCTTTTCTTTCTAATTTTAATTTTAATTTTCATTTTTAATTTTTTTTAATTCTAATTTTCTTTTTTCGTTTTCAGTGAATATTGCACGATATTACAAGAAACAATGCTAATTCATTTTTTTAATAAATTATTTCTTGAGTAAGTAACATTGTTTCTTGTAATATCGTGCAACATTCATTGAAAACGAAAAAAGAAATTGAAATTAGTAGTATTCTAAAATTAGAATAAATTCATTTTTTTAAATTTGTACTTTATATTTTTCTTTCTTGCACAAAATTTGAAAAATAATTCATACCTCACTCATAACTAAGCGGAAACAGTTGAGTGAAATACCTTCATTTTTTTTTCCATACTATTTTTTATGAAAACATAAAAATGGAATATTTGCCGCTTGCTTGGCATCTGAAACAAAATTTAATTTTTATTTTCCTTTCTGTATTCCTTTTTTTTGCGTATAAAAGTGATAAAAAACATTTTAAAACAATTTTTTTAACTAAACTTTTGTTTTTGCTTTTTTATTTAGAAATTACTATTTTTATATTAAAAAAATGATAACCTGATAAAGATGAGGTAAACAAGAATGAATGATTTCATGAGTAAAAATAGCAATAACAATAAAAATTAAGGTATGATGTAATTTATATTATTAATGAATGATTTAATTCATTGAATGATAATAAAAAAGAGAAAGAGAGAATAAAAACAAAAAAAAGTAATTTCAAGAAAAAAGTTTTTAAAAAAAGTGATAATCGACATATTTTCTGACATAATTCGTAGTTCTATTAATGTTGAAAATGTTCATTATCAATTAACGCCATTTGCAATAGTTTGTGCTTTTTTTTAATTTTGAATTTTTTTTTTTTTTCAATTTTAAAAAGACAAAATTTTATACGGTCATTTAGTTTCACTACTTCATCTGCATTTATAATGATATAAAAAATAATTTTTAGGAGAAAAATTTCAAGAAATAAATCAGTAGGATGAAAACAATTCCATTCATTGTTTTCGCTTTTTGTCTTTTTCATAATAATTAGTGATAAGGAATCGAAAGTTTTGAACTTTTTTCCCTTTCTTTATCTCATATAAATTAACTTACAATAAAATGCAATTATGCTAATCATTTGGTTATCACTCTCTTTTTGCCAAATAAGATGAAATGATAAAAGATTTTTTTACATATATTTTCAAATACATTCGAAATAATTTTCGCTTTTTTCCTCATTTTTTAAAATAAGTTTTTTAATTTAGAATGATAAAAGTTTTTTAATTTAGCATGATAAATGATCATTTGCCTGTTTTTTTTTTCTTCCTCTTCTTTATTTAAAAATTTGTTATACGATAGTATATTGAAATTAATGGAAATGAAATAATGCAAAAGTGATTAATCAAACTGATAAAGTAACGAAAATATGATCGTTTTTTGTTGGTTTATAAATGATAACAGCAATTCCTTCCTCCTTTTTAATAGCTTAGCATTGTGCCATTTACTTTTGTTTTTTTAAACGAAAAACGATAAAATATACGGGATATTGAATGATCCAATTATAATAAGTGCCATGAATTTCTCTTCTTCTTCTTCTTTTGCAATAACTTTCCTTTTACTTTCTTTTTGTCCATTTTGATAATATTTCTATAACAAATTCTTTTCTATTAATGTTTTGCAAAAGAAGAAAATGTCCATCTATTTTAGAAATACATCTTAGATTTTAAAATTTTAACATACATTTCGAACTTCTATTTTTATCATTAAATTTACTAATTCACATATCATACACCATAATTGATCTAGAAAATTGGTAACATATACAAGAACTGGATGAATTGTTCATGTCTCGGTCGGAAGAGAATTCCGGTAAATGTATCCGATCAGTATCATAAATCAAATATTAAATCGACTAGTGATGAACTAATTGATAATCGAATACCACTGACTAGGAAGCAAAAATTTATTCTAATCAAAAATTGGAAAGGTATTGAACGCGATGTGACAACTGCTGGTATTGAAATGTTCCTGAAGTAAATTTTATTATTTGTTATTCTTTCCAATTAAATAATTTGATTCCAGCACTATTTAATATTTAGTTAATCATCACTCAATTATTTGACTTGAAATCAAATCAATTTCAAGAATGAAAAAAGCAAATGTTCGGATGAGGATTAATGGTCAGAATGGTCAGAATTATTTGTTACAGAAGCATTTCCTACTGGTGAATTTATTTTTCAGTTATTTTAGTTAAATATTGGAAAAAATTTTTGATTTTTTTTGTGCAGGATGCTAACACAACATCCGGAATATTATGAGTTTTTTAAATTTCGAAATATTGCCAATGAAGCAAAAGAAAATCAAGTAAGTGATGAGCGCTTACGAGCTCATGGCGCTGCTGTCATGAAATTTATTGGAAAAGCAATCAGGTAATATTTTTATCAATTAGTTTTTCATAAATTCATTAAATGCATAAACGTATTCAGTCAATATAATGTTAGATAGATTATATAAATAATACTTTCTAATTATTAAACAGTTCTAATTATTAAAAAAATGTACCCTGTTGTTTTTGTCATATAATTCTAATTTAAGTTACTAATTGCTCTGCTTAATTAAAATTTGCTAGCAACAATATCTGAAAATTTCAAAATGGTATCTTTTTCATCTAATTTACATATTATTATTAGGAAAATTTGAGTGATATGTAAAGATGAATATATTTGAAATTGAAATTAAAAATTTTGCAGTCAAATTGAAAATGCAAATGAATTTTTCATGCTACTTGAAAATAACGGAAGACAACACGCTCATAGAGGAGCATTTAAAGCGGAAATGTTCTGGGTAAGTTATTTTCTCTGTTTGGGTAAAGATTTTTCTTTTTGAAACTTTTAAGCAAAAGTTCGTTTGCAGAAATCAGATTCAACTTTTCCCCTTTTTTTCTTTCTTTTTTATCTCCATTTTTTTTTTTATCAATGCTGTTAAATGAATAATTTTATACGTGTTTCTCCATACTTCCATTTGTTCTTCCATATTTTTCAAAATACATGTCATATTGGAAGGGAATCATTTTGCAAATGTTTGTCTTTAATTAATTGTTTATTTGACCTTCATTTCAAATGATTATTTATATCTGTTTGTTTTGTTTTATCTTTTTTTTTTGAAATCCTTACAATCCTTTTCTGTTTTTTTTTTTTTGGATTTGAATAACGATCGGAGATGCGGATTGTAAAGATTTGAATAACAGTGTTGATATCGTATAAAGATATATTATAAATTTTATGAAAGCAAATTTTTAAAAAAGCGAAAAAATGATATAATTTTTATTAAATGATGGGCTTGGTGCCTTCTTTTGCATTCATTTATTTGAATTATTCCCAAAATATAGGACTTTTTAAGTAAGAAATTGTTAAAATTTAAACATAATGATTGAAATTTCACACTTTTGTCATACAACAATACATTTGTTGTTTTCTATTTGTATAACATTGACAAATTTATATTTGCATAATTGTGTAAATAAAATTTTCTTTAATGGAATTGACAGTGCTCTATGTGATAGAATTTTAAAACAAAACTATAAAGAAAATGAAATTTTGAAGTATCGAAGAGATTCATAAAAACATTTTGGTATTATTATTGCTATCTTTGACATTGAGCAAAGTATAACTTGACAACTTGATCAGTTAAAAGAGGCTTAATTAAAACTTATCAGTGTGTTCAAAACTTCAAAAGTTCCTGAAAGGGCGTCTGCAATTGAAATGAAAAAGAGAGTTGGTAGAGAGTGAATTTTGTTAAATGAAAGGATAAAATTTTGAGTGTCAAGAAGGAACTTTATGGTGATAAACGTTTTAAGAAAAAAAATTCTCAAAACTTTGTTAAAAATTTGAATTTAACTACACTTCCTCTTTTATCCTTCCTTTTTGCTTACATTAAAGCTAATTTAATTCATGGCATTCATTTCAAAATGTTTAAATTTTTTTAAATTAAGATTTCTTTTTATTAATCTAAAATTTTTACGGCTCTTTTCCTCACTTCTTTAATTGATTTCTTTTTTTTTTTGTTCACAAGACATTTTGCAAATATTTATTAAATAATGGGACAAAACAAACGCCACAAATTTCAAAACAATCGCCCATACAAATTTCATAGTTCTGATAGCGGTCAGTGACAGTTCCGTCCGTACAGTTAAAATAACATTTTCATTTGGGTATTTCCTGCTGGAATTGTTTGTTGCTTCAAATAAATTTCTGAACAGGATTTAAAATTTTAAGCTTTATTTTCGATACGAAATTTTTTCTGTTTTCAAAGATATTATTTTAGACCTAACATCGATAGTAATAATAATAGTGTTGATAATAATAGTAATTATGATGATTACCACTGCTAATGTAATTAAAGCAGCCATAATAATGAGTTGAAAATTTATATATTTTTTTTTCAATTTGAGATCTTTAGCTTATTTGAAATATCACTGAATACAACGGTTTGCCTTTATTTTAACGGCCTGCCTCCAATAATATCTGCGATTGTTTCAGTTGCTGCTGGAAATCTGTTGCAGGTGATAGTGATCTTTTCTTGCCTACTTCTACCAAATGTTGCATGATCTGAATGAATGAATGAATGAATAATGAAATCTATTGATCTTTTAAATGTAAAAATTTGAAAATTTTAAAAATCAACGTTAAATTCGATAAAGCTTAATGTTACGATTATTGCATATGTATATTATATTATCATTAATATTAAAGATAAAATTGCATTGTAGTTAATTGCACAAACGTAAAAATCACAAACGTCAAGTTGTTTAGCGAATTGTTCTGCTGGACTTAACGCACGTCGTTTGCCAATATCTTGCAGTGATAACAAATCACTCAAACTATCGCTCAATTCCATTGCTGGCGATGCATGCGATAATTGATCATCAAATGATCGTTTATAGCCCTAAAATGTTACCAGTGAAAATTTTGATGATTAGCTTTTCTTTTTTTTTTTCTTTTTGTAAAACTGTGCAAATAATTTTTTTTCTTTTGTCATATGGAAATTAAAATGTTCAATTTCAATTTGTTATTCATTAATGGAAAAGGATCGATAGTTTGCAAAATTGCTTGGAATTAATGAAACAATGGATATAAGCTAATTATAGTCATTTGTGTGTTACAATAATGCTTCACATACCAATTCATTAAGGCGCAAAAGAGAATTTATATTATCTTCGAGTTGTAACGCTGGCGAGAGTTGTTTCTTTTGTCGACTTGCGTAACAGCACATCAAATCGCCGAAACATATCGCAAAAGCTGTGATTGTTGTTGTCAAACCTATTAGATACATGCTAAAAAAAAACATTGCAAATTGTATATTTTTAGCGAATTTTTTACATTAATATTAAAACAATTTTCGCTTTCTAAAAAATAATCGTTTATAATTTTTTTTTTTTGTTGAATTTCCCGCAGCACAATTCTGTAAAATGGACGAACTATGGAGGGATTTGCTGACGATTATTACTATTATGAGAATATATGAATGATTATTTCGAAATTTATAGATATTTTTCATCCCATTTTTAATGAATATTTGCAAAATGTGTTATGGACAAAAAAAAAAGAAAGAAATTAAAAGAAATGAAGAAGAGAGCAGTGAGATTTTAAACTAATAAAATGAAATCTAAATGATACAAAATTTAACCAATTTTGAAATAAATGTCATGTATGAAATTGCTCTAATAAAATTTAAATTTTTAATAAAATATTAAGAATTTTTCCTAACAAACAAACTTTTCGAAATGTTTATTGCCATAAAGTTTTTTTTTAGGCTCAAAATTCTATTCTTTCAAGTTTGACTCAACAAAATTCACTTTCTATCGGTTGTCTCGAATAACTACGAACGAATCTCGTTGAAATTTTTTGCAGTTTTAGATTTACAAACTGAAGAGCTAAACAAAAAAGGACTGATACACCCAAAAAAGGACCAAATTAATTTGTAAGTTGTGATACAATGGAATATATATTGACTGCTATAAATGTAACAAATAGCGGTAATGAACAAAAGGTATCGAAAAGAAATGAAATTGCAAATATTAGAATTTTAGAATTAGCTGCTAGAAGAGGGCGGTAGCATATGTGACATTTATAGATGAAATAAGACATTAATATATGGTTGTGATGATGATAATGATGAACGAGTTGTTACAGTATTTTTTTTTTAACCTAAACATAATTGATCTTTCTTTTTTCAAACGATATATTCTTGCTACTTCTATTATCATTTTCATTGTGCTTATTTAAATTGAAAATGTTGCAATGAAGTTTTTTCCCTTTCTCTCTCTCTTAAATATCTGATTTCAAAGCAAATAAAAAATTCCCACTTCCATTGTCTTTCAAAAGATTAACTGAAAATAGAAAAGCAAGAAATATTTTTGCCAAAATATTAATGAATGAGATAAATGAAAATAAGCAATGTAAGTAAATACATTTAGAGAAAATGAATTATAATTCTATTTCTATTTGTTATACTAATAGTAATTTGCTCTTTATAATCCATTGAAATTACCAATCATAATTGAAAGTTGCTGGAAAATTAATACAAAATATTCATTTTAGCAAAGTTTTCCCACAGGCAAAATTATCACACAAATAATTCATTGTTTCTAATTAATTAGTTCTAAAATATAGATATACTTTCCAAATATCTCAATAAAATGGATGATGTTATTTAAATGTTGCTTCTGTTTCATTACAATTAATGCCATAAACATCACTTTTTATGGAGGAAAAACATGAATTTATCATAGAAGTAACACTTATAAAATTTAATTACTTTAAAAAAAATTATTTGCTTCTAATGATTTATTTAAGATTTGTGATGGTTTGAAAAGTTTGTTGGAAGGAAAAATATTAAAAAATGAAAGTTATGAGAATTAAAGAAAATTTCATTTTCAAAAAAAAAAATTAAATTCTGAAGTTAAAAAATGAAAAGTAGCAAAATAAACGAAATTTATTTCTTCTGAATAAATTTTTATAAAATTTCAAAAGTTTTTCACAAATCGAATTTTACAATGGAAATTTTCGTCTATTTTTCATATTTTCGATAGTTTTCATTTTGTTTATTGCTCCATTTTACACTGTTAGCTTTTAAATTGAGCGCTAAACACAAAGTGTTACAATGCTGAATAGTTTTGATAACAATTTTAATTGAATTGCTAGTAAACAGTAATGAACATTGGACAGCTATCAGTTAACAATTTATAGCTAATATATAAATTGCTTAAGATTTGACGATCCAAACATTGATTTATTTTTAGCTCTTGCATCATGCTAAATTACTGATAATTGCATCAGTAAAAGAAACTTTCGATCATGCTCATTTCTCAAATTTGGCTGATTTGAAACATTGAGAAGAGTTGATAAATTTCAAAAATCGCAAATTTTCAATACTGCTTGACTTATTAGCAAGTTAAATACTGGTAGAAATGAATGAAGAAGTTGCAATGTAATATTAACAAAAAAAAATGAAGTAAATGTAAAGTATTTGAATTTCCACCCAATTAGTAAATGATATCATAAAGACAAAACTGCAAGAAATGAAAGCAATAAAGTTGGAAAAGAAATGGGAAAAGTTTTTTCATTATAAAGTTTTATTCCTAAAAAAGCTATCAAATTTGATTGGAAATTCAGTTAAGAGAAATAAATTAATTTCGATCATCACCGGAAGGAACTATTTTTTTTTAATTTAAGAATTTATTCATTTTTTTTCCTAGAAGGAACATTTTCTTCACTTCCTTGGAAACATTGTCTGAATAATTTTTATTGATTGTACTTTTTAAAAATATTTCTTCAAGGCAAAAAAAAATTTATTTTTTTTGTAACGAGTTCTTTAAGAAAGATGGCAAATTGAAAGAATTATTAAAAATAAATGATTCCTCACAAAGGGAATTTTTACAGCAATTTTGATACAGGCCTAATTATTTGCCTATGCCATGTTTGAATAGCAATTCAAATTTTTGAAAGAAAATTTTTATAGTGATTCTGATGTAAGCCTAATTACTTGGTCATATCTGTTTGAATAGCAATTCCTGTTCCTTTAGATGACAGCTTCATTTTTTCCTAATTAGAAAAAGTATAGTCTTATGAGAAAAAGATCAACAAATGAATAGAAGATCAATCTATTATCATTACGATCTTTAAAGCTTTGATCTTTTTATTATATGATAATAAAATTTGAAATTTAATTGCATGATAATAAATATTTTGAAACTTTTTACTTTGAAAATTTCATCTGAAAATATAATACATCACATTTCTTCTTCAGGTACATGAAAAGAAAAAAAAGGATGTAAACTATATTTTGAATACGAAAATAGAATTTAAGTATATCTTCCAGAACTTGGTGAATTCAAAATATCATATTTCAGAATGTGCAAATATATTTATTTCGAAGAAAACATACACTCCTCACTTATTCTGTAAATTTTTTATTAAATTACATTTGTTTGTAAACAGCAATTCAATGTTGCTATTAAATTTCTACATGCATTTAGTGCTAACTTTAAAATGATAAATAAATTAGCGTTAACATTAATTATTAAATCTTTTGATGTTGATGAGAAAATACATTACAATAAAACATTTGGCTGAATGCAATCGATGGTTATAAATTTTTATGTGCTAAATATAAAAATTGTTACAAAAGATATGTTTTTATTTTAGATGTATAATTTTCGATCAAAAATTTTTTATTAAATGTTATTTTGAAAAGTCTTTCGCAAAATTTTTCAATTTAAAATTTGATTATTTGAAGAACTTTTTATGCCATACATGATAGAGAAAAAAAAAATTACAGTGATTAAAAAGACTTGATATCAATAAAACAGTGAGAATCCATTGCGTTATCTATTGTTATCATATTTAATTCTCAATTAGTTCTCGTAATTGAAATTTCGAGAAGAAAAAAATGATATTTTAAAGTATTAATGCTAGATTATATTCGAACTAAGAGATTCAAAATGGTAGGATGGATACTCATTGCAAGCATTTAAGTTTTGAAAATTGCTAAAACGGTTAAAATTGAATATATTTTAAACATTCTATAAAAATTTAAGCGATTAAAATAGAACACATTTTAAAACACATTTTAAACATTTTATAAAAGACTTAAAACGACTAAATGGAATCTATTTTAAATATTCTACAGAAATTTTGTTACAAACAATATGCTCTACGTTTACATTCAAACAAGCTTATTTATCATTAGTAAAAGATGTAATTAAAAGTGACGTCTTATTTTTAAATATATATTTTTGATTTTTGATAAACAAAATAACGAATTAATTAGCAAGCTAACTCTTCTCTCTATAAGCGCAAAGAGAAAATTTCTCATTTCAAAGATCCGAAGAAAATGAAAAATTCTGATAGGTGAAAAAATGTATATGATAATTGGCAATGAAATGGGATAAATCTGAAGAAACTTTGTAAAAAATTTACCTTATCTATTTTTCATGAATCTAAAAGAATTTTATGTATTTTCAACAAAAATTTATTTATTAATAACAAATTAATTAGCAATTTAACTTTTATCTATAAGCTCAAGCTTTTAATGGCTAAAATTGAGTTAACTTCTTAAAAATAAATATTGAATTAGCTTGGACTTCATTATGCGAAGGTACTGTATTAAACATTTAAAATGTAACAAATACAAATAAGCCGCCAATTAATATAATCAAATGAAGAATATGATTTGATCATATCATATTCTTCATTTGATCATATCATAGATATCATATTCTTTTTCTTTCTTTCTCTCTCTCTCTTTTTCCCTCTTGAAGGTTTCCGAGATATATAATCATTCTGGAATATTGAAAATGTAAAAATTAGTCATTAAGCATATTTAATTCTTAAAAAATTTGTTTCAAGCGCTCTTTGCCTTCCAAAAGATGCAGAAATTTGTTATTTCAAATATATTTTATCTTCGAAAAGCATAAAAATTGATTGTACATTCATTTCACAAAATATTCCTCTTCGATTGCATACTTTTCTTGAATTTAGTATCAAAATTCATCGCAGATCGTCGAATTTTATCCATCAATGATCAAAAATCACTAATCAAAACTGATAAATATAGCAGACAAGAGGTCAATGATGTTTGTCAAATAATTTAGGTTTAATTTTGTGTATGTGAAATGAGACAAATTGATAACATTCAATCATAACATATCAAAAGAGTAATAATGAGGATTGTTGATCCACTGATAAAATTATTATTATTTGTAAATGAAATGAAGAGATAAGTTAAAATAGAGTGAATTAACTGATGAAGCGATAAAAACGAACAGGAAACTGATATGACATTAAACGATACAATGAAATTTCTTCGGAGAATTAGAGAGCACAAAAAAAATGAATTGTTTAAGAGAGGAAAGTAAGCAATATACTTCTTTTTTTTATCTTGCATATTTTCTTCAAATTCAAATTGTATTAACTTAATTGAAACAAATGGTGAGTTTTTTTAAAAAAAGAAAAAACGAAAAAAAAACGATAGTTTGAAAAAGAATAAGAAAGAAATAGTCCTTATTCTTGTCAGGTTATCACAATTATTCATAGTATTATAAATTGCAATCCAATTTTTTCTCGATCCTAGTACATTATAAATTAATAAAGTAAACCTCATTAATTTATAATCTACTAGGCTTGAGAAGGTATATGTGTATATTGTTCTAACAAAGCTAGTAAGTAATTATCATAAGTAATTCAAAATGTTAATTGTGTACATAACATATGATAAATGCATTAGCTTATGGTATGTATGCAAGCAGAAAGACTTTTAATGAAATGTTATTTTTATTCCACAAATAACTAAGTTAGAAATTTGTGTGGTAAGTAGCCAAGCAATTAAGGATCTAACCTTCAGATAAATCACCATACTTCAACCTATGGAATAGATCATTAAAACTTTCATTATTTGAACAATTATCAAAGGTTAAAATGCATAATGATGCATTTGCATAATTAAATATTTAGTTTAGCTCTTTTTTTATTCAATAACTTTGTCATTGCATTAATGAAATTTCCAAAAAGAAATTGATGATAATTAAAAATTTCTAAAAAAAATTTGGAGATAATTCCGAACAGAATTTGCTTTGCCGCATACTTTCATGAAATAAAAAAAAGAGCAATAGATTTTATACACAGTGAAAAAATTAATTGAAGATGATTGCGAAAGAATGTCAGAATACAATTATGATAGCAAAGCTTTGACAATCTCAAATGTTTCTAGCTAAAAAATCGAACCGATCTAATCAAGTTTTCACTTTTTTTGCAACTCTTTAAAAAAAATTTTCTTATATTTTAGTACTAGTCGAACAGGGAGAAATCTTAAATCTCATTTACAAATATGCTCTCTGATCATAAATATTACATTATGACTTATAACATTCATCTAGGTCAATTGATAAAAAGTGATTTTGGATAAATTTTATAATTCGCTCAAATTTAAAATCGTCAACCTATTCCATCTTTCATAAGCAATCTGATTGAAAATTTGGAATGGAAAAATTTCTATAAAGAAAATACATGATGAAGAGATGAGAAAAAAACGAAAATTGCTTGGAGATGGGAAGCTCAATTATCGTTAATTCTGTGAGAAAATATCCAATGAAGTAAATTTATTTCAACTTAACTTTATATTGTTCTTCCGTTTTCTTTTCAAAAAAAGATGGATACAAATCTTAAAGTCTTATCCTCTTCCGTCATCACACATCATTAACTTCAGGGAGTATATCTATAGCTAATCAAAATTTAAACGCATACTGGCTTTACATTAAAATTGAAATTTCAGCTGAGATCATTAAGTATTTTCATAATTAAATATTTTTAGCAAGCCAATCAAAAAAATATGAACTAGAAATTTTCAGAGAGTAAAATTAAGCATAATAGAGCAACAAAAACCAATTCGTATAATGATTTAAGTAAGCCACATATATTTCCATTTGTAAAACAAATTAACATATGTGTTAATTAACACATGTGGGGGAGCTAAGGTTTCAAGGAATTCCCAAGGTCATTGTAAAAACCTTTGCAAAGTCATTTGCCAGTTGCCCACATACTTTCTCTCTCAACTCAACATTTCACATTTCCCAACTTTTTAAAGCACTGTTTGAGTAATTGCAAATTCTAAATCTAACAGTTTCTAATGTACAATTGTTTCAACATAATGAGTTGAAAAATCAACACAGCCCTGCTATTTTTCAAACTTTTCCTTCTCTAATAATGCACTACTTTTATCATCGTTATCTCATTTAATTACAGTATAATTTTGCGGCTTCAGTTTTGAACGAATTAAGTTAACAAGTAGATGAAAAGCTTATCTTAATGTTATGATGTGTTACAACCTTTCGCAATGCAGGATTCTGCAAGCCGAATACATCCATTTTAACTTCCAATTCAGTATTTCTTTACCCAGTGATACGCAACATTTCATCCATTCTATGCTAGGCAAACAATAAATCATATCTAATACACTAAATTTTTCGTCTGATTGTAAGTGCCGCTTAACTTACATGATTTCTGAACTGTTAATAATACAAAACTTGTAATAAATAAATTTATTCTGAATAACAACTTGTTTCGAAAATCATTTAGAATACAAATTAACGAGAAATTTCAAATAATTAGCTCATTGCAATTAGCTCATTGCAACAGCATTTGTTGGCTGTGTTCCTTGACGGTTCTTTGGCTTTGCTATGGTTCCTTCACGAAAATGATTCCTGAAACAAAACACAACGATAAATTCGAATGTATCAGGTTATGAAGCAAAAATAAAAAAAAATGCATCAGCTTCAAGCTTTCGAAGCTGCAAACCAGTTGTGAAAGCCCTGCTCTGTGGTCGATGTTGGCAATATAATCAGTATTTTCAGTGATAGGATGGAACAGATGAAACAACAAAAGTCTATCATCTTTATCATTATTACTTCTCTGAATTGACACCAATTCAATTAAAAGATTGCTATCTTATGTAGTTAATAATAAATTATGGCCAGAGTTAGAGAATGCATTCCTAGTTGAACATTCTAAAATTAAACTTATTACTACTAAAAAAACGAACCTGAAACGACGTCTTACAATTTTGAGATGACGCATGCGACCAGTACCTGTCGTATGCCGCCTGATTGCTTTTGCTGACCACTGATATGTACGCTTACGAGCAGATGGATAGCCACATGATGCGCAGCGATGTTTTTGAATATGATATGATGAACGACCGCATCGGCGGCACAACGTATGCGTCTTATTATGACGCTTACCAAAAGATGAAGTACCCTTTGTCATTATGAACAATCTATACACAATTTATAATTAATTGTCTAATAAAAATATCTCCTCATGACAGTGTATAAACGTAGGATACTCAGTCTCTCATTTAACTCATGCCCTAATTTACATAAGAGCTTTTCAATACGGGAACAACATACGGAATGTAGGATAGTCAATTTCACCACTTACTCCTGCCCCTATATAATCAAAATCCATATAATCTCACTATTCTTTATCATTACTGAACGACTAATAAATCAGTTAATTGCCTGGTAAAATATTCCTTGTAGTAACATCTTTAACACGAAAACAGCATTCTAACGTGGTAAGTCAATTACTCCACTTATTTTTACCCTTATTCCACTTCCACTATTTGTCATTACTCGACAATCTGCTAACAATTTATAGTTAAGTATCTGATAAAAATACTCATCATAATTTTTTTAATATGAAAAAAGCATGCTAACTCAAGGTACCTACGCCCACACTCACCACACCTAGCTAAGCCCGTCATCGGTAAATCCCGATGGCGTCCCAAAACTCTGCTACAAACCAGAGGAGAACAAGCCAGGAACGATTTGCAAATGAACTGTCTCATGAAGAAACGAGTTAATGTCTCAGTGTGCATTTTCTTTCCGTGGATTACTTAGCAGCGAGAGTGATATAAGTGTGATTAGATGATTACAGTTCTTATCATTGATTAGAGCTAGAAAGAAAGGAAAGAAAGAAATAGATGAGAGAGAGAAAGAGAGAGAGAGGATGAGTGACAATTTTTTACACTTTTTGTTGGATATGAATTTGTTTTACAATGTTACTCATATGTGCTTTCAGTGTTGCACTTCGTTGTGCTGAGATTTGTAAAGAGGAAATGAGGAGAGGTGGAGAGGGATAAGTGCTTGAAAATGGTTAGGTCGATTTCTTCTCTTCGTTACTATTTGTCAGGTGGTGTTTACACTGTTTTTTGATTTAGAAAGCTATGTATTTTGGAATTTCAATTCATTTTAGGATTCAAATTAAATATGTTTCGTATTATTCTTTTGCGTATATATTATTATTTGTTGCGAATATGAGATTAGTAAGCAAAGTTCGGATGCAATCACAAATTCTTTATCCACAGAGGAAGAAATAAATTAAGCTGATTTTATGGCAAAAACATATATTCGGAAAATCGTCAGAAGAATTCTTTGATTAAGCGAAACTCATCATCGTTAAACTTCATTTAAAGTGCTACAGGTATGGTGGATGATTTTTGATACATTTGGATGTTTTATCCGTAAAGTATTAGATTTTTTTTAAAATAACGCATAAAAATCCTAGGAAGGAACTATATTGAAGTATATAACTCATAAATAAATTAGTATGCAAATTTTTTACTTATAATATTACTTAACACCGCAACTAGAACAATACGATTTAAAGCTATTCTTTTGTTGCAATTATTCTGAAAATTATCTTTACGAGAAGGAAGCGACGGCGAATTATTTTATTCCTTTCATTTTGTTTGGCATTTTAAAATATGGTTTCAGGATGAGCAGTCCAATTAAAGTGATAACGGTAAACACAAAATCATATGAGGGACAGAAACCAGGTACTAGTGGTTTGCGTAAGAGAGTAAGTTTAGTCCTTTATTCATTTATCTATTTTTATTCAATAGCGAACTGACTCAAGAATATAAGAGCTATGTCTGATGAACAAAGGTAATTTAATTTGGAGGAAAGCTTTTATGTACTAGAAGTTTTATAAACTATGATCTAGAAAATTAATAAAGTCATCCGTGTTTAAGGTCCCAGAGTTCCAGCAAGAAAATTATACAGAAAATTTTATCCAGTGCACATTGGATGCGGGTTTGGGTGATAAAAAAAAAGGTGCAACCCTGGTGGTTGGAGGTGATGGCAGATATCTCTGTCCGGAAACGGTCAATATTATCATTCAGATGGCCGCAGCTAATGGAGTATATTCATTTTATTTTATGAATTTTGTGTTGTAAATTATATTTTTCTCAGAAGAGAGTGGTGAAAAAAAGCTTGCACCAATGTTGGGTGTATTAGTTGATAAGTAAACATAAAAACTAGTCGATGCTTTAAAAAATGCAAACACATCCATTCTTTGAAAAAGAAGGTAATGACAACAATAATAGAAGGCATGTTCAGATTCGGATGGCAATATATATATAAATTGTTCTACCATTACATCACCATTATTTCTTTTTTAGTTGCGTAAACTCATTGTTGGACAGAATGGCTTCCTCAGTACACCAGCTGTTTCATGCTTAATTAGAAAATGTGAAATAAATGGTTCGTATTTTGCTCATTAATTTTTTTTAACCAACATTTGCTTCTCTTATCAAAAATAGCTTCACCACGGAATGCTCTGTATGATAGCTATAATTATTTCGGAGACACATCTAATAGCTATTTCATAATGTCCTGGAACACTACAAAACTATAAAACGAATAGGTTGAAAAAAACTTGTTTCACTTACAGATGGCAATTTGATCAATGGCGGTATCATTTTAACAGCCAGTCACAATCCTGGTGGTCCTAAAGCAGATTTTGGGATCAAATTTAATTGTGAAAATGGTGGTCCGGCGCCCGAAAAAGTAAAATTTTTTTCCTTAATTGGACAAATATTTCAGATTTGCTGGATGAAATCTCAAAGCTTTAATATTTTGTTAAATTTAAACTTCGTAACTATAGCTGTTGTAGTTGACGGAAGCTATTTATGCACTGAGCAAAAAAATTTCAAAATACTATATTTGTCATGATTTGCGTGCTGACTTTACTAAAATCGGAACGACTGATTATAATATTGATGGTTATGGTATTTTTACGGTGCATGTTATTGATTCGGTAAAAGACTATGTTCAGCTAATGGAACAGATATTCGATTTCTCAAAAGTAACATCATTTTTTTTTTATTTTTCTATGGATTTTATCCTATCTGAAGACATTATATGCAACATTGTGCTAACTGTTTATGAGAGTCGGTGAATAATTTGTTGCAGATGAAAGAATTGCTTAGTGGTCAAACAATGGGGCAATTCAATATACTAATCGATAGTTTATATGGAGCTACAGGACCATATATAAACACTATTCTAATAGAGAAATTAGGTGTAGATCCGAGGTTCACGTCTCATACAACACCAAAGCCCGATTTCGGTGGTGGCCATCCGGATCCCAATTTGACATATGCGAAACAGCTAGTTGATACGATGAGGAAAGGCGAACATGATTTTGGTGCTGCTTTTGATGGCGATGGAGTAAGCATTTGCTTGCTTTATATGAATATTCAACTTTAAACTAGTTTCAGTTTAAATGCCAGTTTGAAACTTCATTTGTTGCTCTGAATGCGCAAGACCTGTATTATTTAAAAAGATGCTTGCTTAGGTGTATTATCTTTTTCTCTTTCGTCCGATAATACCTTTTTTCTAAATCATACCTAAATTAATTTAGATTTGATTGCTTTTTTAAATATGCTTTATGGCTTATTTCAGGATCGAAATATGATCCTTGGCAAAAATGGTTTCTTCGTAACTCCCAGTGATTCGCTTGCTGTAATTGCTGCAAATATGAAGTGCATCCCTTATTTTCAGCAGCACGGCATCAAAGGTGTTTGCATAAAATTATTGGGCTGTTCAAATTTCACTTTAAACCTCATAATGTGTTTTTGTAATTTTCTTTTTTAGTTTATTTTCACTGCATTCACTGGTCTCTTTTATCGTGAGAACTTTACAGGTTATGCAAGAAGTATGCCGACGGCTGGAGCAGTAGATCAAGTGGCCAAAGAAACAGGTTTACCGATGTATGAAACTCCAACTGGATGGAAATTTTTTGGAAATCTTATGGATGCCGGTAAATTATCACTTTGCGGTGAAGAATCATTTGGTACTGGCTCAGATCACATAAGGTAAATAAATTGATAAGATCATCGATTAGAGAATAGAACGATGACTGTGCAAAACTTAATGCTGTAAAGGTATTGTTCTTTGGTAAGTAATTGTAGCTCTTATTTTATAAGATATTTGTCAGAGCATTTAAAGTTTTTTCTCTTCGACTCTTTTCTTTTAAAACAAACGGCACTTTTTTTCTTGATGGTAATGTTTCAAGATACTTTTTTAATTGTATTTTTGAAATTCTGAGTTAACCATTTTTATTCACTCCTCATTTTTAGCTTTTCTATATGTAACAAATCACTGCGCAGTGCAATATTGAAGAGGGAGGGAAAGTCTCGATGTGAAAAAGGAAAACATTCAAGTTATGATTGCTTATTTAAAAGGGATTTTGTATGAAAAAGATGGAAAAAACATATAGTTGCTAAACGGTAACTTCAGAATGTTGTTGTAGGGAGAAAGATGGTATTTGGGCAATGCTTGCATGGTTGCAAATTTTGCAACATAAGAAGCAGTCGGTTGAAAATGTTGTTAAGGAGCATTGGTCGAAATATGGTCGAAATGTCTTTACGCGGTATTTTAATATTTATATTTTGAAACGAGCAGAGAAAAATTTTAATTTTCTACATAGCATTTTACACATTTTATTTTAAAAGATAAAGTAATAAGCATGGATGTGGTGTTTGTGCTAAGTGGCTGCTTTTTGGTTTTTTTCGTAACTATTTAGAAATGCTTTAGAACAAATTTTTAAATTTGTTTTTATGTATGTGTTGATTTGGTTCAATGCTCTCGTAATAATATAGATATGATTATGAAAATTGTGATGCATCTGGAGCAAATCTGATGATGACATTCATCGATTCTCAAATGCAAGCATTCATTGGTCAAAAGTTTACGGCAAATGAGAAAAGTTACATTGTCAAACAAGCTGATAATTTTACTTATACTGACCCTGTGGATGGTTCTGTTTCACAGAAGCAGGTAAGTGATTCAGGTGCTTAGCTATATTTTAAGTTACATAGGCTAATTTTCCTTTCATTAAGCTGTTTTAGTCGGTTCATTAGTTTTTTCATAAGCAGATACAAGCAGATAACAGTGAGTCAATAAATTTAGTTCTTTGAAAACTAACAAATTAATTGTCAGAATTCAGCCCTTAATTAATGAATATGTGAGATTTAAAAGGATAATTGATACTTGAATTTCAACTTTTTAATGTTGCCGTTTTGTACTCAAATTGTAATTCATTTATGTAATAATTCTGGTTAGTTCGTGCCAAAGTAATGGAATAGCCACACTTTCCGATCTCAGATTTAAGAACTTCAATTATTTACTCATGCAATTCCGCTTCATGAGCGTCCTATTTACCTGAAGATAAAAAAAGGTGAAGCGAGAAATCGAGAAATTTTTTCTGCCATTTTTTAAAAATAATCTTTAAGGATTCGAATTTTTTTTAATGGCTTTTCAGGGTATACGTATTTTATTCGAAGATGGTAGTCGCATAGTATTTCGTTTAAGTGGTACTGGTTCACTGGGTGCAACAATTCGTTTGTATGTTGATTCATTTATTGATGCGTCAGATAAACAGCGACTTTTTCAAAGTGCAGAGGTGGCTTCTTGGTGCTTATGAAATATAATATTGCGAAGACTTAATACTGAGTAAAACATTTGAAACGTACAATTTTTTCACAATAAAATAAAAGCAAACATTTCGTTATACTATTCAAATGTATGCTTCCTTTTCAGATTTTTAGGTCTATAAAATATCGAATTTTAAGGTTTAAAATATAATCTCTATCCTTTTTCTCCTCATCCTCATAATATATGAATGTTTTAATTAATGACTTTGAATTTTTTAGGAACTTTTGAAACCTTTGGTTCTTGTGGCGCTTCAGATAAGTAAACTGGAACATTTCACTGGCCGCGATGCTCCTACAGTTATTACATAAGTTTCGGAATGTGTAAACAAATAATATTATCATGTTATACTATCTGTGAAACATTTTCCTTTCCGAGTTGATTACATTGTGTTAGAAAAACAGTTTTTTTGAATTTTGATTTTAATGGCCTTTGTGTTTTTTTAACCAGTTTTATAGGTTCAATACGTTTAGCAAATTATATTAAGGTAATAAGTTTTAAGATAGCTTTCGTAGTAAGAATTTTTTCTGCAGTTTGAGATTCAGTGACGCTTAACTGGATATTTTTTTAGCTTTTTCAAAATGAATCAATGCCTTTGACTGATGTCACTGTATTTTTTCCATCAAAATCTTTCTTTTTTAGTTACATTTGCGAATAAAATACTATAGCCTGAATGTTGTTACTTTGCTTTACTCGTAAATTCAAAAAATTCGAAGTTTCAAACTATTTAAACTTTCGGAATGATTTGACGAAAGTTCATTTATGATGAGGAAGAAATGAAGTTGAAATATAATATGAAATAGGTTGAAAATATACTTTTGCGAAAAAGTAAGATTTTATATGAGATTAAGCAGAGAGTGTAAACACAGCAAATTTTTGTTTTTCTTTTAAATATGAGTTGCAATTTAAGTGACATTGTAGAAGAAAGTTTGATGTGGTGTATCTTTGGAACAATTTTGGGAAAAATCAGGGGTAAGAAACTGCTTTTACTACAGTTCCATTTGTAAGTGTACGGTCGAAGATTACAATGACCCAAAGATGTTAAATTTACTTAATTCAAATTGTTTGTTTAACTGGAATAATCGGTCAGGCTTTGTGTTACTGAATGATCTTGAGTAAGAAATTTTAAACAGTTTTGTACAAATCTTTTGTACAAGATTTGCATGCTTCCTGAAATTTAAATTTTAAGGACTATGTAATAACTCTAAATATCCCACTTCCCAAATAATTACGACTGTACACAAATTCCGGGGAAACAACAATTTCAACAAAGGCTAGACTATTAAAGGTATCAATGAGGCCCTAAGGACAGATTTTTTGAAAGTTTCCATGGGTCAACTTTTAAGATTTACGGAGAAAATGAAAAAATAAGTGCCAAATTTCTAGTAAAGAATCTAATGAATACATATAAAGAAAGATTCCTTTTCAAGAAAGTGGAATTGAGGAAGGGTTTGCAACAGAATACCGTTCTGTCGTAATAATTTATGCAGAATTTTGATTTTCAACTGTTGATGTGAGATACGATCTGGGAATGAAGAAAAGGTCATTTGAAGAGAGACAGTGCTTATGAGGGTCATTTTGAAATAAAATCTCGCTATTGCTGTTATGGTTCGTTTTTCAGTAGGAATTTCAATTTTCTTTTCTGTGTAAATTGTTTCGCACTCTGTTCTTGTTTGCTTCGATTTTGTTCTTTTTTTCTTGAAATTCTGAATAGGTTGCAGTAGATATATTGTCAACATATTTTGATGCTTATATTTTATGTTTTAAGATTTTTCATTTCATTTTGATAAGGTTAAAATTTCTGCTCCTAACAAAGGTAAAATATACTTCTGAAAAGTTTTTTTATAGTAGGCACAAAGCAGTCTTTTCAATTCTAAATGTTTGGAAAGAATTAGTAAAGATGTTTGCTAAAATCATAACAGTATAAGAACACATTTAATGAGATCAAATGATAAAATAAGCATAATTATGCTTTTCAAAAGAATTGTTTTCTGATGAGGTATAGAAAAAAAATAGTATAATTTTTACAGATAATCATCTGTAAAAATTGAATTAGTCAGAATCACCAAATATAACTTGTGCATTTTTTGAATAAAACCATTACCTGATAAACGCATACTTCTACGTTAATAATCATCAAATTTTAAATGTGAAATGCATTCAATACGTTATTTTTTATTATGTTTGAATTTTTATATGTCGTGATAAGCATTTGAGTTATTATGACTTACATGGTTTTAATTTCCGGGAAGGAAAACATGATTGGCCGATCAGGATTGTTTGCCGATATCATGTGCCCTTATGATGAGGACTGCACACGACCCCACTGCCATTTTTGGCACTCTAAAGGTTTTATTGTAATTTTATAGTTTTATTATAATTTATTTAATGTTAGATATTTTAAAATTCAAGTAGCGCCTTCCTCAAAATTTTTATGTATTTGTTATTTCAGACGACATATCACAGCAGCAACAACAACAACAGCCTTCTATATCATTGATGTCGACAGCTCAACTTGAGCAACCATTTGTGGGTTATGTTGGTTATGTGGAGAATCAGAAAACAACCACTTCTAGTCAGTCTATTTACGCTCCTCTAGATCCGGTTGCATACCCACAGCAGCCATCAACATCAGGTGTACTGCAGTCCGATAGTATATTTTAAATTATAATTTCTTTGTTTTAAATACTTCTACGTTTATCTTTTCATGACGAAATCGATAAAAGATTTATTAATCATCAGCAAAAACTTTGAGCAAACCGCAATAGCTGCATAGCGAATGATTTTGATTCTAACTATTGCAACAGTGAACATTAAAATATGTTTCATCAAACGAAATATTTCATTTCTTTTTAAGTTGCTTACATCCCTACAAAAATTACTCCACGGCCAATGTGTAAACGAATGCCTTCACCGGAAATCATTAAACCAAGAATGCCAGTGGAATTATTAGTGGATGATATACTGGATCCCGCTAACGATAAACCAGAAACTATTGCTGTTTCATCTGCTAATAGTTCAAGTTCGATTGAAGTAGGTTTTTTTTTTTTTGTTAAGCATGTGATAGTAAAATACTTCAAAAATTTTGAAACTCATGATAGTTTTCATCTTTCTAGAAGTTTATTTTTCGTAGTTCCTCTCAGTATTCTAAGGAGCAGATTTCAGCTTGTTTGATATTTCAGTCTTTAATCTACTCTGCGAGACTATTTCACGGCAACTTTTTAGTCAAACGATTTGGGAGAGTAATGCGCTCTTTTATATTCCCAATTTACACAAAGATGATGTATCTCTCTGAAACTTTTTATAACTTCAGATTCTTTATATTTGAGTTTTTTGGAAGTAATTTCAATAAAAGAATTTTACAGAGTACTAAAGTCTCTGAAATGAGTTTGAATGATTATGCGAAATCAGTAGCTGACATTGATACACGAATCGAAGAATTACAGCGAAAGATCGAAATCGAACGCCAACAAAAGGAAAAGATAGTTCACGATATTAGAGCACTGGTTAAGCCACCAGCTGTAGTTAGTTCAGACTCTCTAGCTGCAAGAAAACATTCAGTTAGTTGCCATATAATTGCATTTGACTTATCCAGTTAACATATATTATTGTGTCGACAAAATGAGTTCTTAGTTAGTATAATATCAGGTTTCTTTGAGAAGATATTGTTTGGATAAATTCATCCAGATTAAGCTAAACTGGATAAAAAAAACGAAGCAGGAATGTGTCGAAAACAAGATGATGAATATGTGAAATATATCCTACCCCATTGCATGCTTTATTTATTTGAATGGTAAACGATGTGAATTTTTAACTGAATTCCAGAGCAGTTCGATTTCTTCAGTCCGTGACTTATTCAACATATACCATTCAGCTTTAATTACTAAACACGTTGTTTAGGGCTCAAACTCGAAATCGAAACTAACTTATACAGGTGGCTACACGCCGACACCAATTGCTTTGTTGAAATCGGTGGAAAAAGCGAAAAATGAAGCTCGACAAAAGAAAAAATCAAGAACTGAAGGGAAATATAATGAAAAAGAGGATGTAATGGACTTGAAGAATAAAGTAAAGGGAGCTAAAGTGAAAGACAAGGATAAAGCGAAAAGCGTAAAAGTAAAAAAAGTTACGAATGTAGAGACAAGTAAACCGCATATGGCATTAAAGCGGCAACAATCATCTGAAAGAAAATCGCAATCAGTAGCAAAAAAGAGGCTTGATGAACAGATTTCTATCGAAGATCTTTTTGAAACCGATGTACGTTTATTTACATTATTGCTTATATATTTATTTATTGCTGTTGAACCCGATCTGACGTTTCATAGTACGGAACTATGCGCTGTCAGAATTCTTTTTCTAGAATGCGACATTCTTTTTCTAGAATGTTTCAAGCAAACTTAAAAGGTGTTAAAAGTGTTGGCTGACTAAAATCCGACGGTTCAGTTGTCTACTGTTTTATCGACAAGTTTATCCGGCAAACTCAAATTCTCACCTAGTTAGATGAATTGCTAACATATGTATTGGTTTCGATTTAGGTACCAGCTACGAAAAAGCAAAAAAATATGGACAGTGATCGGAAATCAAAAACAGAAAACGTACCTGAAATGGAAAAACAAAAAGAAGTGGAAATCAAGATAGAAGTGAAAAAGCGAATAGCACATAACAGTGTTCAGGTATTCATTACTTGTGGTTTTTTCGGTGGTTAATTATTGGAATGGGTGTTTATTACTTTTTTTTTTGCATATTTATTATCCATATGTTGGAGATAAATATGAGTTAGTCAATACTTCAGCCGATTAGACAAATGTGTGTAACAGCAACCAAAGTTCGTGCACCTACAATGGCTCAGCAACTCATGAATCGCTACCAAAAGCTGCAGAAGGAAAAAGAAGAATTGTTGAGGAAGTAAAACTTAACAATTATCTATTGGACATACATTAACATTCATTAGCTGATCATCTGAATTCTATTTTCAGCATGAAACTCAAAGAAAAAATAAAAGCAAATAAAATTACAACGACAGAGGAAAAGTATGATTATAAATCGGGCGCAGTAGCAGCAACGGTAAGCAAAGGCGAAAAACGAACAGCACACGTACCAAAAGTATGCTATTTGATATTACCGTTAAAATTATTCTCATGCAATATTTGTCACTAGTGGAACAATCACACATCCAACGAGGCAGTATATGAATTGCGATATCATTCACCTTTTGAATTAAAACTTGGGAGAATAATTCAGTAAAGTGTGTTTCTCTTTTGTTATTGTATTTCTGCTGATAGAATGTTTGGACCAGATTTTATGAATGTTTATCGTTGCGCTTAGGGTCAGACTAATATTATAAGTACATGGTGGAAAAGATTTTTTCTTTTTTAGTGATATGAAAGCTTTATTTTGTAATAAAATTGCTTTCATTTGTCAGTTCGATGCTGATTTTGTAATTTTTGCAGGTATCGAAATCTGCCAAAGTAAATTTAATACCGCTAGATCCATATTCATGTGGTAAAGTTCCTTACGTTTTGCGTACCCGTTATTTGAATTTGTTTTACATTGAATGCCAGAAATTTTGCAGTTCAACAAATGATGCTGTAGCTCAGGTTAGTTGACCTTGTTACCTTTGTTTGTCTCTCCGGCTTTCTAGATTTCTAAGTCCGTGATAAAAATATTCGTAAATATTTAACTTCATAAATATTAGTCCACGATAAAAATATTCATAAATATTATAGATATTTTAAAATTGAATAAGAAAGCTCATTTAGTTTTTTGATGTCTAGATGGAGAACAGAATGATTCTTTTTATTTTTGCTACTTAGCAGTTTTTAACGTTAATAATAGTTCAGGCGCAACAAGAAGAAAAAATGATAAAAGATCGAGCTGTAACAAAGGGCGGCTACACAAGTGCTGCAGTGAATGTTCTACGACGTTTGCGAGATATTGTTTCATCGCAAACTGCAGGTTATTTCCACATTTTTTTCTTATATTTTTCAGTTCTTGATCATTAACATTATCATAATAAATGAAGTGATAAGAATAGGTTGTTTAGGTAGAGAATCTTCCAATTGTTTATGAAAATAGATTTTTGATATATTGTTACTTTTGTATTTATTAAGAAGAGTTACTGCAAAATTCTGTTCATTGCATGGATGATTGCAAGATAATTTATTTTAATTACTGCTCCCATGTAAAACTCATTTTGCCTTTTAATTTTGCTGTTGAGATCCTAACAAAGTTAAAAATGGTTCTTTTATGTTGGATTTACAACACGACGTAATTCAAATCTCCATTTTTTTTACCATGAGTGGATTAAAGTTAAATTTATATATTTAAATGGATCGCATTCAGAGATGTTTGAGTGCACTTTACTCTTCTATTATTAAGAGACGCAATATTCTGAATGTCTAAGCTGTTCAGATATCCTTTTTTCCTTTTGTTGCACAACTCATTTTTTCTTCGAAAGGTTGAGTAAAATATTAATACAGCTTACGTCATTAATTTGCTAAGATTCTTCTTGGATTAACTAACTAATATTTTGCAGCATTAAAGTCTGTGTCACATTCGGCTATCCTTGCTGGTCGTCATCATGGATCCATCACAGTTGGCCAGAGAAGGTGTTCAGTTTCTGGAAAACAATCCATCAGTGAAAGGTTAATGTTTATGCCTCAGAATGCATCAGAAGTTTTAGCATATTTTGATTTTACTTTGCCGTTTAAAGACAAATGACATTGAAATGAGGAATGCTGTTATAAATAGAACAGCGGTGTTTTTTCCAATGGGAAAATTTTTAGTAGATTCTAACATTTATATCTTTCTCTGATAATCATGTAATTACTTTGCAGTGAATTCTACGAAGTGCTGCTTTCGAAATTTGTTTTAGACGAGGACAAATTGGAAAAAAATGGTTTCCCTTTATGGGAAAGTCCGGATAAAAAAAGAGTGAAGATCAAAACATCTGAATTAGACACTAAGAAGAAATTATTTGTAGAGGAAAGTGGTAAGTTTCCATATTCCGTTTGCAATTAGTGTGATTGATTCTTGCTGGTTTGGCAGGCTTCCACACTTGTCCTCGTAATTTCTTATTAGTCAAATTCTTATTTATTTAATCTGGTAGATTGACTTTTTTGTCTAAGGATTTTGGTTTTATTATTTTTATAATATTTCCCTTTTATTAAAGTTGATTACTGTTTTTAGATCTCAAAAGAATATGTTGTCGTTGTGGCATTGAATTTGCTCTTACACCGAAAGGTGAATATGTTGCACTGAGGCAGTGTGTATACCACTGGGGAAAGGCTTTTAAAACAAAAAGTCAGTTTAATTGTTTATTTTTTATTAAATAATGATTGTCAGCCAGATTTCAGCAAAAAAAATTACTGACTACTAGTAATAATTTGCATTGAAAAATACAGTTTTCTCTTCTTTGAATTCGGCAATTTTTCTAATTATTTCATGTTATTATTAGCTCGTGGACTATGGGAATCTCGCTACAATTGTTGTCAGTCGGATCTGAATGTAGCTGGTTGTTGTGTAGCTGATTGTCATGTCACTGATACTGCTCCAAAATCAGTGTTGGAGACCTATCGAGAGGTAAATTTCAAATTTTCGAATTACAATTTTGCTGTGTAATTTTATTGACTTTAATTGATTCTTTGCTAAATTTCCTTTCTTTGCAGATACCTTAACTCAAGAACATCTAAGAAAACTTTCCTGTATCTTGCTATAGAAAAATGCTTACTATGGAGAAATACTTTATCATATTGTTCTTTATCATGCTATACGCAGATTTGATAACGATTTGCGTAATTTTTATAGACACCACCACCATCGGGACCAAAAGATGAACGAAGCAAGAAAGTGTACGCATTTGATTGTGAAATGGTGTATACATCCTGGGGTACTAGTTTAGCGCGAATATCAGTAGTCGATGTAAATGATAAGCTAGTGATGGATGTTACTGTACGTCCACAATATCAAGTACGTGATTGCAATACACGATTTAGCGGTTTGACGATAGATCAAATTGAGGGAGCAGAATTTGATCTGGAACAGGTAGGTGCTTTTTCATGTTTTTCACAGCACAATTGTCATAATTATTACAAAGAATAGCAAAAATAGATGTAACGAAGTATAGCGATATAGTGATATAACGAGCTGGATTAAACATGTTTATAATTATATGAATGATGTCATACTGCTATGCATACTGCATTTACTATTCAGTTAAGCAAAAGAATGAGTGAAAGTAGGAGTGGAAGAGTTCAGAAATATACTACTACGAACTATAAGTTGGCACCATCTCTCATTTTTTGGTGCTTTTCACGTAAAAGTCCTATCTAACAAATAATATATTTCATTAGAGTAGAATTAGAGTAATTTTTACTGAGGTGTAAAAAAGTTCTCGTTTTTATCTTTTTTTTATATTAATTTATGCAAAAATTCACTGAAAATTTTCACTCTTCACTAAGAAATAATAATTTGTTATAGACCCAGGAACGATTCTTCGAATTGGTAAATTCAGAAACGATTCTGATTGGACATAGCCTTGAAAGTGATTTGAAAGCAATGCGTCTGGTTCATCATCGAGTAGTAGATACATCAGTTGTATTCCCACACAGACTAGGACCACCCTACAAACGTGCTTTGAAAACGATTGCTTCGGAAATACTGCAACTTATCATTCAGGAAGACAGTGAGTTGTTTTATTCTAAATTCTAAATTTTATTTTGTAGAAAGATATATGATCTTTTAGACACGGTATTTGCAGTTTTGTAATGTTTTAAAAAAGAATTCGAAAAATTCAGTTGATATTTATAGAAACAGGAGCCATCTTTTCAATTGTGTTTCATAGGTTGAAATCTGTTGAAATCTTTCGACCTTTCGCTCTCTTTTCATTGTAATAAATCTGGCCGTTGCACTGTTTAGTCACCTGAAACATGACCAATCAAGCACGATTCTGCACAAATCTCAGAGTCGTTTGACCTGCTCGCTAATTTTTTTGGCAATTAAAAATCTCATAACCTTAATCCCCTGTTCCTGATTTGGTTAACTTATTTAAATTCTAAAGAATATCTTCTATTGAACTTTACTTATCTGATTTCTTCACCTAAAATTCACATATTTATGAAGTTAACGAAACTGCAGAAGAATTTTTCACTATTTCAGTTGATGGACATGACTCTAAAGAGGATGCAAGCACTTGCATGCGGTTGATGTTACACAAAGTTGTGCATAATTAGCAATATTTAATGTATTGTGTGTTGAAACAGGTTTACTTTTAAAAGCTCAAATTCTAATCAATTTGTCTAATAACTTACAACTTACAGTTTTTGAATTTATATATATATAATCATATTTGAATAAGAGACTTCATACTTCATTCTTTAATATAGCTGTTGCAAGTTTATTTCTATACATATTCCTTTTTAAACTATCTGGCCAGAACTTATACTCCACGTTTCGTCTTCTTGTGTCCTTTATTTTTCCTTACTTCAAAAATTCATAGATTTAGCTGTATTTAGCATAAGTGATTTTGATATTTGAAGATCATATTAGATCTTTTTTTCTTCTCAAAAAAGTTGAAATTTGCTTGTTCCGTACAGCCACTTGAATCATGACAATGATAAATTTTAAAAGTAGCAAAAATAGTTCAAAAAAGGAAAGCAGCAAAAATCTTGTTGCACATTGAACTTTTTAAATTATATTGCAGAGCTCTGTATATCAGAACTTATGATAACAAATATATCACAATGAATTCTCTACAAAGTTATGAATTATTCGGCCAATTGATTTATGAAACACCAAGTGTTTATCTTTATTTATCTTGTTTGTTGTAAATAAATTTATGTTCATGCAGTTGCGTTTCCTGCATTAATGTTTCTGCATCGCGTATTTTATATCAGAAGGAGTGAAATATCCTCATTGTTTTACGTATTAGTAGGAAATGATAACTGCGAAAAAATCACTAAAGGTTAATAATTTTCTGTGTATGTGATTTTGACATTAGAGAAAAACCAACTAACTATTAATAGCAAAATAGACGGTTAATTAATTCTCTTTCGATCGAAATTTTTAACTCCGAGATATATAAATGCTTTTACCGCTAAATACTGAGATTTTGAATTTCTCCGTGAATCAAATCGATGAATTGTTGGAATGAGGATGAAGTTTGCAAATATACCGAGAAGAGTCTGGGAGCACAAGAAAAAGTCAGCACTTGCATCTTTCGTTGCTTATTTCACGGGTTGGAAGACGTACGGCTGGAAGAGGTTGATTCGTTTTATTTATACTCTTACTATTTCCCTTTCAGTTTGTCGGATGCTATGTTATTTTGCATGTTGTCCGAGAACATATATATTAAAATTTTAAAATTAATATTAAAAATTAAAATCTTACAAATCATGTTGGACATAAAATTGCCGGAGACATACTCTTAAATAATATAATTGTCAAGAAGGAAAAAATCTGTTAAATTCTGCTTTGCAAATATATCAGTCATTCTGCTGTGCAAATCATTTAAGTTCTTTATTTATCCTATTTGCCGTGGAAATTTGTTGTTTTAGAGATTGTGATATACGAGCTGTATATGCTCAAGAAGCAAAGAAATTTGGCGATGTGCCGTTAGCTTCAGGCGAACGTTTACGACGTGTCACTGTTTTGGTAGATACGACCTGTGCGGGTGCTTTCGATAATTTTAAAAAAAATGCTTTACCATTATTTAATTTAGCTGGTTTGCAAGTGGATATAATCAAGGTCAGTTTTTTAATGTCTAAGGACTTCAAATAAAGTGAATGAAAACGAATGTTTATTGCAATTCCGATCTCTATTGTATTTCTAGTCATTAAATCACTTCCAAAGCAATTGTGCATTAAATTTTAATATTCATTAGTTGTAATTACATTTTTGTAGCCCACTGATATTTCTGAATTCAAAACTATTGCGGAACACATTGATATAGCGGAATGTGATGCTCTATATATTATTGGTGGCGATAGTAGTTTAAGTACTGTTCTAAGTGCGGTGTATCATCAAAAGAATGATTCACCGTTACCTATTGGTGTTTTCCCGGGTGGTTCTGAGAATCGATCGCTAATTGGTTTGGTTCCTAATGTATTTAGTTAGTTTTCGGTCTTTTTTTATCCTTTCGCAGAAGAGGCAGTGTTTATGAATGATTCGCATTGCTGCGACATGGACATATTCTTGAACATTGCGATGGTATTATGTATAAGATTTATTTTGCGATGAAAAATTCCATATATATCGTAAACAGCTTTAGTTAAAGAAAGTACATTTAGTTGCTCATATAATATTCATTAAATTACATATATGATAACATGTATAAAAATAAAATATTTAAAGTAGCATATCTGCTCACATTTATTTAGCCAGACAGATCTGTCGTTACCTCATTTTTTTTGTTCAGCAATTCAAAATGATATCCGTCCATACTGTGAAAGTGCTATGGCTCTCATCGAAGAACAGATTCGACCGATTTATCTATTAAGCATAAGACTTGTAAGCTTTGTTACTAAATATCTATTTTGTGATTTTCATGTATAAACTATGAGAGTACTGTGGCAGTCAATATCTTAACATAACATGATTGGCAAACATGAGATTTGAAGCGAGTTTTAAGAAGTTTTTATCAGTGCTTTTAAAATTAGAGAATTTCAGGTATATGTTTATATGATGTCGAAATTGAAAAGTAAAAAATAGCAGTTTTATCTCCATTATGTTGTCATGTTTCGTCAGTGGTCTAGTAATCTACAAATTATCATTGAAGGAAAACTTAGAGAGCAGCACGAATGAAGAAAAACAACCATTTTACGGTATATCAGGCTTATATGCTGGTTGGTACGATAGAGTTGAGTCAAACAAAAATAAACTATGGTACTGGGGTGGATTAAAACGCTGGATTGCTTACATCACAGCTTATTTACGATCTTTGAAGGTTACATTATAATTAGCTTCAGTTTACCGTGATAGTTTTAATCTTCAGGTCTATTTGATTTTAAGCTTTGAGTAGTTTGACCAGAAAGAACGCAACTCGAAAAAGTCAGTATACTACAATCACTGAAGAAATTTTTATCATCCTTCATTACTGGTGTTGTTCTAATTTTCGAGAAAACATCTGTGCTATTGCTCAATTGAGGGTCATATTTGATGCGTAAATGAAGTCTATAAGTAAACTTTTCCTTTTTAGCAATATCCAGAAATAGAGCTTAATATGATTTGTGAAGAATATTGCGTCGGTTGCTGTAAATGTCGACCACAGTCTATGGTTGAAGAGACAAAACAGCAGAGGAATAAGCAGTGGTGGCATTACATTATTGGTTCACGTAATTATACTAGTGCGGTAAGTTTTCGGGAAATTAGCTTTCCTAAAATCATAAATTCTAGAGTCAAGAACTAAGATTGGTTGGGATAACCTAGATAAAGTGATCAGGTTTACTAATATTTTAGAATATTGTGATATTTCTGTAGCAACAGTCATGAGTAAAGTAATCAATTGCTGTTACTAAAAGTAAGATGTATTGATTGATATACTTGTTTAAATTTAAAATATTGCAATTTTACTCATTATAACGCACTTTTCTGATTCCCATTTGTCGATTTCTGCGAGAATAATTCTTTTCTATGAAGTCGTAAAGATCACCGCCATCGACATATTCCATAATGCTTTGCATAGATAAGTTAATTTCACGAAAACCAATCAGTCTTACAATATTAAGATGATGGCCAATAATTTCTTTTAATGTAAAGCATTTTTGAGATTAGCATTAATAAATATATAGTCTTAAAAAAAATCTAACTTTTAGAACAATATGAAGCCACAAATGGATTATTCAACAATACAAAACAAGAACTGTGGAAAAACTAAGGAAATGAAAATGAAAACAATCGATGTAACGTTTGAGAATACTCAAGATCAGGCAAGTTTGTTTGTATAGAAGTCTGATTAAATAGTGAAAGTAAACTGCATCATTAAATTATATCAGCTATTTGAACTTGATGCAATCTTTACTCCCCACTTTATTTCTGGCCATTATATTTATTCTAAGGTAGTAGAGGTCTTTTGTGGTACATAATGACAATAGTTAGAAATGTAATTTCTATTATATACCAAGAATGTTATGATCAATGATATTAATATGATTGATTTACTATCTAATTGATATTGGTAGAAAAGAAAAATAGTTCAATCTTTCAGAAGGCATGCGGTCTTCGTGTTCGTACTGGAGGTGCTGGACATAGTAGGATCAGTTTGTTGATAGATGGTTGGACAAGGTGTCAAACAAAGCAGTTGTCTGCATCTCCCAATACTGATTTCTATCAAAATGATCTCTTTGTTAAATCGGTAGTTTTAACATTTAGTTCGTTGCCAGATTCTTTAAAAAAAATCACAATATTCGGCAATGATTATAAAATAGATGATGCCTTAAGAACTCGAATATTTCTCGAATCAACTAATAAATATGTTAACATGTATCTTCCCTCTAAAATACGGGTATCCTAAATAACCTTATCAAGATGAATACAAGTTAAATATTACCTGATTTCTGGAAAAAATAAAACATCTACTCTCACTCAGTGAATTCCATTTCTTTTGAAATTGCCTATGAGTTGGTAATTTCATTTTTTTTTCATTTTGCATTAAATATCTTTGTCATGCTGTATCCATCACTACTACAATATTTTTGGTATCGCTAAGGGTAGAGTGAAAATTGAAACATAATTTCGTTTCTCTTTCATCATTTCACGTGAGATTATGATGCTAAGATATTTTGTTCGGATATGTTTGTTGTTGTCAAATTTAAATTTTTCGTAATTGTTCATCTTTTTTGACATAAATTTCTCGGGTTTCATATGTGTTGTTAAGTCCCTGCAAGTTGAATAAAATTATTCGCAGTTGTTTTCTAAAAGAATCGCCTCTCAACGAACGAAAAATTGTAGCTTTTTGATGCAAAAATATATTAAAATGCTTCTTGTTTTCATTTCCCATATCATTTTCCTTGTTCTGATTATTTCTATCTTTTAGAGATTCTTAGAGAACTTCCGATGAATTGGATTAGAATTCCAGAAAAGAAGTTTTCAATTATCTTGTGCTAATCACAATTACAGTGTGAGATATCCTCTCCTTATATCATTTAATTTCTTGAAAATTAAAGGTTAGGTTATATAAGAAAAAGCGGGCTTATCTTGCACAATTAATTCGCAACAAAATTAGTTTTCCATGAAATTTTTTCCAATCCTTTAAAATAATGCTCTAAAACTTGTCACATTTACACAAAACTCTGTTAGCCTCTGGAAATTCTTATAAAAATTGCATCGGACAACCGATATGCATTGTTTTAGTATGTAGAGAAGTCGGTCGGTTCTTTCAAATCGCAAATTTAAATGAAGTATATTTCGGTGTTGCTTATTACTTTCCAACAATAATATCGCATAAGTCTTTTAATTATCAAGTATGAAAATATGATAAAAATTGTAAAAACCGAAATTCACATACACCAGTCAAAACATGTATTATGCATGTCAAACTCATCCAGCATCCAACACTCTCACACATTTGTTCCCTTTTGAATACTTTTTAATTAATCCATTAGCTATGTCATTAGTGATTTGATTAAAAAAGAAAATATATAACAGTAATAACAATTTGAACATAATTTTTGATTTTCGAATAATATATGAATTCATAAAGGTGATTGAGTAGAAAGCAGTAGTATTCAATGTTTTACCATTTGTTAAAATTTCAAAAAAAAGAAAATTCATCCATTCAACGAAATAACACTATAGATGATTTGAAATTCACCTCAACACATTAGCACTTCCCAATTATTGCTTTTGGCATAATAACAACTTTGGATTATTCACATTTACCAGTTTACACTCAAAAAAAATGTGCATGTAAACATGTAAAATATTTCTTCCATTTCGGACATGATATCTATTATCAATATTACAAAATTTGTGACAATGTGAATGGTTTTGTTGAATTTCATAAATTTTCAGCAATAAAATTTCACCAAATGGACGTGCAAATATCCCAAATAAAGGTTAATCTTGTCTGTTTAATAATTCCATAAAGTGAAATTTACTACAAGTACGGAATTCCTCTACCATTTCGCACTTATTTAATATGAGGCTTAAATTTTTGCCATTAATTTTTGCAGGTTCGAAATTCGAGAAAAAAGAGGCGAAAAGGTAATTGAGTAATTTTTCATCCTGTTGCAGTGGAAATTTTTTTTTTGTTTTTTCGTTTAAATGAACCATAAGAGCTGATAGAAAATGCTGTTACTGCACACTGTTTAATCGTTTTTTTTTCTTTTTGTAACAATGATAGAAAAAGTTAAACTCATTCCTTTTCTATTTCGATCTCATATGAAGAGAAAACATTGTTTCTTTTTTTATGGATTGAAAATTTCTTTGAAAAAATACCGAAAGCGAACAAATTGAACAATTTCAATGCTATAGATTACCGAAGGTTGATGAAGAATTGCATACAAGAACAATTTTCGAACCAGTTAGTGTAGAAACTCGTCCAGCAAGAACGAAATCAAAAATTCGTAGCAAGCTGAAATGGAAGGAGGATATTGATTTAAATGAAAAAATTGAGGAATGGAAAGATGCTAAAACTGAAGGATCAAAAGATTCTAAAATTGAAGGATCGAAAGATTCTACCACTAATTCGGCTAGAGCGATACGTTTGAATATAAAGGACACGAAAGAATTCGACCAGATAGAGACGATAGTAGCTAACGAAAAATTGGGAAAAAGCAAGGATAGTACTGATGAGTTGCAGCAATCAATTCTATGGATAATTATTAGGAAAATTCTAGAAGAAATACTCATCTGGCTTATTGTCATTATAATTCTTATCATTAGAAGATTTCTTTGAATTTTTAAATTTTTCATTGCAAACTAATCAGTGCAAGAAATAAAGACTAAAATTGTTATGTTAATCAATTTGATTGCTGGTAAAAATGTCGAATGTTCCAATTCATATCATTCATTTCTGTAGTAATAGGTTGTATTTAAAAAATGAAAAATGATGTATTTTCAACGATAGAAAGGTAGAGAACAGAATAAACAGTTCTCAGAAGAAGTACCGGTGAACGATGGAGAGAGGAGGGAATACCCGTGAATGATCTCCATTCATTTATGTTACAAATATTCACTTAAGGGGTTTTATTCCATCCTATATAATCTCATTGTTTCTGACTAGTTTATTGATTTCCTCAGTTCAACTTTTCGAGCATCACTCCTTCTCCCAACACAAGTTGCCCCACCCTTTTCATGGGTAATTCCTTCTCATATCCTGCATGATCTTGAAACGAAGATGTGCATTCTGTGTTTGCGTGTATCATCAGCTGTTTCCTCTTCCCCACTCATTCATCATATCCCATCGATGATTATGTTTGCAGTAGCAAAGATGTAACTGCTCTTTTTACATCAATCAATAATTCAGTTAATTAATTAATTAATTGTGAGATGATGATTTAATTTACAATATATCGTTTTGATAGCTATTTGAATATGATGTAAACTTGTAAGCTCAATTTATAATGTATACAACATGTGATAAGTTTTTAGAGTGTTATAAATGGAGTGAATGTTATGCACAGAATTATTTATTCCATTAGATTTTTTTTTCTTCATTTATACTGCAAATGAGAGATAAACGGAAATAATTTGCGGCTGTACTGCAGATTGTTTGTCGAAATATAAAATTAAGTGTAAACAGTACGAAATTCTAAATTGATCATAATATTACCTTTTCAGTTTGGTTATCTTTTAAAATAATGTTACAATAACGTGCAGAACGTTAAATGATATGATTGCAAACAGCAAACGCTAAGTGAAATTCATCGTTAAAATTTCAATGATTAACTTTTTTTGGTAGAATACTGAGAGAGAAATTTAGTTAAATAATGAAATTCAAAATTTTTGCAAGAATTGATCGATCTTTTATACTCATTCATCAATGTTTCTCTGCAAGCAAGCATTTGTTTGTTTAGCTGATATAGCACACAATCAATGAGCAAAGTACATCAACGTCAAGAACACTAATAAGTATCTCCGAAAATACTTTTCATTAACTTGTTTCTTTCAAACTTTCATATTATCCCAATCCAGCCCAGACTCATTATTTATCTTATCATTCCATACCCTTAATATTAAAACACACGGTAAAGTGTTGTTCGTACTTTCTCAAAAGTTTATTGATTTTTTATTCTTCTGTTTTTTATTTTCTTATGTTAAAATCCCTTCATGTGTATTTATTTGACTTGAGAATTTTGTTATAGATTATTATTAAGTTGCATATTATAAGTTGATCGCTTTTCCTTCGAGAATTGATTTTCGCGATTGATCTATTGTCACCAATTATTTTTCTGAAACGTTTATCACATGTTTAAACTTTTACTTTTGGTAGTCATTTATTCATTTTTCCAGAGAAGAAAAATTAATTACGAACGAAAATGCGTTTATGTTGTAGAATAGAAGTATTTCTTGCTTTTAGACTTTTTGATGAAAGTTTTGATGAAGTGGCCTTTGTGTTTCATTCATTATACATATATGTATATTCCTTATCTGCAGAAAGGGAAATTAGAGCTGTGTTGTAGTATGATTGCTTGTGGATACTATGGATAAAGAAGCTTTCGTACATTTTCTTGGAGGAGCTTTGGGTGGTACAGCTGGAACAGCTATTACGTGTCCACTTGAGGTTCTTTTTATTAGTCTCCATTCAACTCATTTTGATAGTTTTTAGAATTCTGTAATTCAAGCCAATAAAAATAGTTTAGTCTAGCTTTTTAAACTTTAAGTTCAAAAAATTATCATTTTATCTTTCTGATGTTTATAAGCTTGTGTTTTATCCAAACCAGCAAGTATATTACCTTATCCATTAAGAGGTTAAAATATCTGGTGAAAAATGATTGAAAATTTACATATTTAATATTAGGAATTGAGGAACAAAGTGAAAATTTGAAGTAATCGAGAATTTGAACTTATTTCAGGTAGTTAAGACGCGACTGCAAAGCACAGAATATGCGTATACAACATTATCCCACTCGCATTCCGAAGGAACATCAAAAGCTCGTATACGGTTCCCTCATCCACACATTTTGCTATGTCACAGTCGAATGAGAACGTGTAAACTGATTAATTCATATAGACTATAATTTTACACTATAATTCGTGCTTCACCTAAGAAAAGAATATTTTTGTTAATTCAATGAGAAATTATTAATATAGAGTTTAATACAACAATGCACTTTATTCTTTTTAAATTTTATTATTTCTCAGATTACTTCCCGCTATACTTTATGAATGTTGCAGCTGCCAACATTCCTCAAAAGCTGCGGTTATGTTATGTGCCGCCGACATGTGCAGTTCAGCAAAATGTGCAACTTTTCGCAAAGTCTGGTTTATCTGTGCAGCAAAGCAGGAGCTTATATACTATGTTCAAGTATATTTTTAGTCTCAAAGAATATAACTGAAAATTATTTTATAAATCAAGAAATAATATTTGAACTCATATCAAACGTAAAAAGTTATTTCGTTTTTATACTGATTTTGATATCTTGGTCTATGCTGGAAAATATTTTCTGCGTGATCTCAGAGCTACACAGATCTTCAATCCTTTAAGTGACACATAACGACAGCGAAGATGATTAATGGTCGTTGGAATCATTAATAGAAATGCACTAGTTTTAATTTTGTTTTAGACAAATTGTGGTAAATGAAGGATTCTCAGCTCTTTTCAAAGGAATTGGTCCTAACCTTATTGGTGTTGCACCTTCGAAGTGAGTGCTTTAAATTTTTCTCGAGGTATGAAATACGATACAGCGTCTTTTGAAGACCTCTCTTTGACTACAGGATATCACTTGCGTGTTTTTCTTTAAAATTCGATAACAGTCCTTTGGAATCAATCAGTGAGTAACTTGTTTTATTTTTAAATGGTTTTTCATTTACCTTTCTTGCCATCGTTTTTGGAGGTGATGGCACCATTTCAGAAAACAATGCAATCTTTTTTGGTGGAAACGCATTGTTTGAATGTTATGTTCCCTCGTCTTTTTTTACTTAACTCCTTGTTTGAAATTACCGAAACTAAGTTCTTGATTGTGTGAAAAAGGAAAAAACATATTTCAGAGCAGTTTATTTTTGCACGTATTCAAGTTGTAAACGATTGCTAAACAGTTTGGATATTTTTGTCTCGAATAGCGCTATGATACATATGTCTTCTGCAGCTACTAGTGGTAAGCTTTCGTTTTTTATCAAATTCAAATGTTTTCCGGACTAGATCACTAGATAGACTAGCTATGACTTGCTTTTAAGGTTTCGTAGCTGCAACCGTCATTAATCCGGTTTGGTTGGTTAAAACGCGTTTACAGTTGCACAAAGGTCCACTATCAGTAACGGAATGCATCAGACGAGTGTGGAGAACAGATGGTTTTAAAGGTTTTTATCGGGTGAATATTTTTCGAGAATTTCGAAACGCAACATATTTGTTAGTCAAGCAAACTTGACTGCACATTTTTTGTCTCACCTTAAAAATATGATTTTGTATTCGGAGGGGAAATTACAAAAATATTTGATATTATTAATATTTTTTATGACCCACGGTAGTTTGCCTTTCTTCCACCTTCACCCTCCTTCTCTTAGCCACGTTTCATGATATGGTTCCAATCTTAACTGTATCTCATTAATCTTATCTTAAATATTGCAGCATATTAAATTACTTGTTAGAATAGTTCATTCTGTAGTTTCAGGGAGTAACCGCATCATATGTTGGAATTTCTGAAACAGTAATTCAGTTTGTATTATATGAAGAAATGAGAGCGTTGTTGTTGAAGTGGAAATCATCTTCTCGAGAGAGGAACATGGATGGGTTCAAGTGTTTAACAGATTCAGAAACAAATACGAAAAACTTAGATGAAAAACTTCGTCTGAAACAAGATGAAAAGCAGCTATCAGCTGTAAAAAAAATGTCCTTAACTGAAAATGACAATCGTGAAATGATTGATTTCTTCCATTTTATGCTCGCTGGTGGGACGGCAAAGTTCTTCGCTTGTTCATTGGCTTATCCACATGGTTCGTTTCTTTAGATATGCTTCTATTATTTGCTTTGCTCTGCAGTTATACATCATTTGATTAGGTATTGTTAGGCTAATTTATTTTTTCCAACGAAAAATTCAATCTAAAGGTTTAATAAATTTTGTCTTGTATCAATTTATTTTTAAGGAAATGTCGATCTAATCGTTACAGATTAATGATTTGAATGGTATAAAACGATTCAGTATTCGTTTTTTTTGGGGGGAATGGTTTTCTTTCAGAATCTGTTTAGTCATTTGAACACTGAATGAGATCATTGAATCTACCTCGATCTCGCGAAAGATTCGAGTTAATACTATTGGGTTTTCACACTGTGGGCTTTTTTTTATCGAAGATGAAGTTTTAGATTGAATATTCTTCATTACTTTGCTCATGCTAGACCACATTTTAATTTAAATTGTATATGTTATCATTTTTCTTTAATTATAGAAGTGGTACGTACCCGTATGCGTGAAGAGAATGCTATAACCAAAGGATTTTTGTCTACTCTAAAGTTTATTTTGCGAGGAGAAGGATTTTGGGCGCTTTATCGGGGATTGACTGTACAGGTTTGATAAATTTAAATAGTTTATTGCATTAGCTTTGCTTTTTTAATGACTAAAGTAGTGACTGGATTTCTGTTCAGTTTCGAGTGTTAAATAATTTGCCATATCTGAATAGCTGAAAAAAAATTTTGATTAGGTAGTAAATTTATAACTTGTAGCCAACATCTTGAACTTATCCATTTTTAGCTTTTACGAACAGTCCCAAACACAGCAATCACTATGGGTACCTATGAATTGACAGTACATGTATTGCATGGGTAAGCTGTTGTGATTCTAATTAAAATACCAAATATTACTATGTTACTTTCTATTTCTTTATTGTAACCAAACTCAACGTTGATTCCAAGTAATGGAAGCAATAACTTGAATATTAGTGAACAAATAATCTGTTCCCAATTTTAGTGTCCTGCGGTAAAGAAAACTTTGATACGTGGTATTGCGTAGTACGAATGTTCAATGAAACGATTATTTTATCGAGTCCCAAAAATGTAAATATTGGACTAGGTGACAGAATGCTTTTAAAAGATAACAAACAAAATTCGATTTGTTTATTGGAAAGCAGTTGCAGCTAAAAGTGGCTTAACGCAGTAATTGTTTCGCAAAAAATGATTCATATTGAGGAAATTTCTTGAAAAAGACGTATCGTATTTTTACAAACCAGGTTTCTTGAAATCCTTGAGCCAAATGGAAGCATTCTTTTTTCCTTTCCTGTTTTATGGACTGAATGATTTGACGGCAATAATTTTCCCTGAATTTTATTTGTCTGATGTCGGTCGTTTTGGTAATATTGATATCCTTCATAGTAATTAATATGAGAGCACATGAAAAAATCTGTGTTAGTAAATACGTATTATTTGTAGAAGAACAACTGGCTTACGGTTAGAAAACTCTTTCATATTATTATTCTTTTGTTATTTCAAAGAAAAATGGGTAGGCCTGTTTATCTATCTTATATTGATGTTAATAACTTGTTTTTGTCCTATCCTGTTATGAAGCTTAAGCTATTACCTTTTGCAGTTTTTCACAAATGGCAGTCATAATTTAGATTCTCTTTCAAAATTCATAATTCCTTTCGATATCTGCAGGTCTGGTTCAACTTATTCAAGTATCATTAAAAATGCATTCTGTATTATTTGCATCATTTCGATGCTGATAGAGTAGTCTAATCGGGACGCTTGCGATTCTGTCAATAAAATTTTCTTCCATTTTGATAACCATATACAGTTTTGTACAAATCTTTAACTACTATAATTTTACTTTATGTTTTATTCATGCTTCTTTTCTTTTCCAGTTCGTTCTTTTTGTAATGTTGATCCTGCTGCTGTTAATTTTGGGTCCATTTTTTTTCTTGGAAGCTTGTAATTTTCATTGTTGATTGCTGCGCATTTAAAGAAAAGCAATATGTCGAGCCAAAAATGAGGAAAAACATGTAGCAATCTGTTACATTTTTTTCTAAGAAAATCTTCCAGTTGTATATAAAGCTTTGTGTTATTGATTTCACTTTTTTAAATTTATATTATGGGAAGAATGAATTCAAAATCAGCCTAACTGCTTGATGTTGACGGCTATTGTTGATATGAGTTCTGAAAAGTTTTTTTTTTTAATTTTTTCTGTAAAATTTCCAATAATTTCCTTTTACACTTCTCAGTTTCCGGTTATGTTGCATTTGTTTGGTATGTAATCAAAGTTTAGTTCCTTTACTAATAGATTACTTCATCTGTTATGATTTCTCTATATTTAGCCGCTATAGTGTCAACGTCAGTGCTATGATCTTAATGGAATGTTGTTTCAAATCATATTTGTCATTGTGTTTTAATGAGAAAGTGAAACAATTTAGACTTCGAACTGAACATTTTTACATGCATTTCGACTTAGAAGGATAAAAAGACTGGTCAAATAAAATCTAACTTCAAAAAACTTCCTCGGTATAAAATTTGTTTTTTTAAAGTTCCCATAACAAATGTTAAAGATTAAAAATTTGTATATACGTATTGATAATTCATGTTTATATTCCTGATGTACAAGGAGATAAATATGCTAGCTACGTCTTTTTTTGTCCTTTGTTTTTATAGTTGGAAAACAAGCACTCGTTTCAAGTATTTTGGATGAAGAAATTGAGTGTTGAAATGGAAAATATTTTAGATGAGAAATTAACTGTGAAATAATGAATGTCACACAGGTTTTTAAAATATTATCTGATGTTTATAGATGATAAACAAATTGATATCATATTCATTTAGAGTGAATTAAGTGTGAACACATCGTTGTAAACAATACGAGTGCCATTCATTATATTTATCAATTCTGATCTTATAAAATTTTCATATTTCCTAGCAAAAAAAGTTTCGACTGGTAGAGAAAATGATTTCATTTTGTTATGAAATATATTGAACCATAGTATGAGTCTTATAAATCATTATATATAAGACAGATCATCGAATAATCAATCATAACACTGTTGAAAATTCAAATATGAATAAGGAATTGCTTATTAGGAAAGTATGAAAGTTAAAAAAAAAAAAAAAACTGATAAATTTATTTCGTCCATAAAAAGTCTTAAAAATAGCACATATATCTCCGCAAGAAATTATCACCACCAATCCTATCATTTAAAAAAAAAACCAAACCTACTAATTATTTTACTAATTCTTGCAGATTATAACCAATAGATTCACGATAAGTAAACTAACCAAGAAATAAGCTATAAAACATTTACAAATGAAAATTGCAACAAATACTATCTTTTGCTATTCTTGTCTACTTTTTAGTGGTGATAATTTGATATTTTGAAATTTCTTTCTAGATTCATCTTATCACTAGTGATAGATCGAAGTAATTTCTTTTCTTCATTCTTTAAAACAGCCAAAATTTACACACATGTTTAAATTTTTGTCAAGCACTAATAATTCATAAATGAAATTATAGAACAATATTCATTTGAACAGGCAAAAAAGAAAGTTCTTTTAATATAAATTCAATTCAGTTTAACGTTTATCTTTCTGCATTTGCATATGTGACTATTTGCGCAGCGTCTATTTGTTTATTTTGATATGATGTAAAAAGATTTGTGTGCAAAACATTTTACACACTCATTATCACAAATCAGTCAACTGTTCAATTTCAATATTTTACAAAAGTATTAAGAAAAGATCAGTTTTCATTCAACATATACATACATTAATTACTTCCATTCATACTACTTTATATAATAACTTCAAACATTTTTCTCGAGAGAAATGATATGGAGAAGGAGATAAATGACGAGTATCTCCAAATTGCTTTCATTAAAGGAAGAAATGTTAATAAATAATTGATTGATTAGTGTATAAAATTTTGCATATGAAATCGTCAGATTTTGTAAATTTTTTTTTAAAAATTTGCTGCATATTTTTAAATTAATGAATGCTATGAAATATTTCGAAAATAAATACTATAGCAAAAGATTTCATTTGATGTGATTTATTTGAAATGAATTTAAATAATTTCAGCAAGTGTTCGTTTACATTAGCAAAATAAGCACTTATAATTCAATTTAGACATCATTTAATTTCTTCCAATTCTTCAACTACGTATTTAATTTCGCAGGAAAAAAAGATCGGATTTAATTTTTTTTTTCATAACATTTAAAAGGCATTTACCATTGTTTTTGATTCTTCAAACGTTTTTTTTTTCTGTTTAATGCGGAAATTTGAAAGATTAAATGAGATGGATTACAATAAATGCATTTCTTTTCCAAAAAGCTATTTCAGTAGTTGAAAAATCTGAAGATTTAACAGAATAAACAAATTGATGAAGATGAATGTGGTATATTTTTTAAACGATGAAATAAAAAAAAGTAGAAAAAAATTACAATTATCACTTATCATTATCATAGACTTTACATAGCATTTACAGTTGTCCAATAGAGATTACAATCCGAAAATTTTAAGACACTAAAAATCGATGAAGATCGAGAAATGGTTATCCTGTTACTTTCGACTATTAGTTATAATCAGCTGAGATGAATGGAACAAAATTTCGATGATTGAAATAGAAGGAGGAAGTGGTTTTTTATCAGGGATAGATGTCATGATGTTATTATGCCTATGGCAAATAATGACTCTCACTTGGTTGTTTTAGCTAGCTTGCTTATTTGGCTTACATTTAATCAATGTGAAATAGAATGTTCCAAGTGACAAAATACGAATGCAAAAAAGAAAAAATGTTCGATGATTCCATCTTTACCAATTCTAAAAAAGCTCATTTATGTTCCAAATTTAGTATCGCTGATCCAATGAATTAATTTAATTGAAATTATCTCATCGTAGACTGTATCCAAAAAAAAAACATTTTACATTTCTTTTTTCAATGTCAAAAAAGAAAAAGAAAATAAAGGTGTTATTTTCCTTTTCTTTTTTTAAGTTAATTCATCTAAATCCTTTTGATTATTCTAAAAAGTATAAAACGTAAATTATAACGTGACGCGATTCACGCGATTTACATTTTGATGTCAATTTATATTTTAGCTTGTTGTCTTCGAGTAGAATAAAAAAAAACAAATCTTTATGCCTTATTCTTTCCTTTTTTTCTCGTTTTTTTTAGTAATAATTGATCAATAAATACAATTCACTGATCAATTTTAATCGTATCTTCTAGTGAATTTCGAATCGAACTTTTTAACTTAAACTAACTTTAACATTTTTCTCGAAAATGTTAATTTCAGGATTTTTAATCTAAACTGAAGGATAAAATAATACATACATTAGTGACACACACACACACACACACACACACATACATACCTATACATATATACAAGCATACATGCACATATACACAAATACACATTCACAACACATACACACACACACACACACAAACACACACACACACACACACACACACACACACACACACACACATACATACATTAGAATCAGACAAACCAAACATTTGAAAGGACGGGAATAGGAAGGAGAAGGAGAGGAATGGATGAGAGAGATCGGTGGTGCTGATGGGTGTCGTCGGTAGCATTGATGGTGGTGACGGTTGTCGTTTTGTTGGTGGTACTCTCCCAGTTTAACTTCACATGTTTTACTCTTCCATTCAGTTGTTTTTCCATACAGTTTATATATTGATTCTACGCTAGAACTGTATTTTTGAGTGAAAAAACGTACAATAAAAATTAAAATCAAAATTTCAAATTTAATTTTTTTTTTCTTTAAAACAAACATCTCATGATGTTTGTTGTTGATTTGGAAATAAAATAAACAAATTGTGGA